GTCTTAAAGTTTTATGGGGCTGGGGATTTAGCTCAGTGGCACAGTGCCTGCCTGGCAAGCACAACGTCATGAGTTCAATTCCTGGTACTGGAAAAAAAAAACCAAAAAAAAAAAACCTCACTGAAAGAGAAATTAGGGAAACAACACCTTTCACAGTAGCATCCAAAAAAACGAAATACCTAGGAACCAATCTAATGAAGACCTCTACATGGAAAACTACAGTATTCTGAAAAAGATTAAAGAGGATATCAGAAAATGAAAAGATATCTCTTACTCTTGGGTAGAAAGAAGCAATACAGTAAAAATGGCTATACTTCCAGAACTGCAATTCTGATCAAAATTCCAACAGCATATCTCACAGAATTAGAGAAAACAATCCTAAAATTCATTTGGAACCAAAGAGACCTTGAATAACAAAGGCAATTCAGGGCAACAAAGACAAGGCAGGGGGCATCACACTTGGAATTATACTACAAAGCTACTCTGATAAAAACAACATGATACTGGGAAAAAAAAAAAAAACAGACCTGAAGATCAATGGAACAGATTAGAAAATGCAGAAACAACTCCAGACATACTCAGCCACCTTATCTTTGATAAAGATGCCAAACACATTCACTGGAATTAAAGATAGCCTCTTTAATAAATAGTTCTGGAAAAACTGGCTTTGCACACGCCAAAGATTAAAATTGGACCAATATGGGTCCAATTCACCATGCACTAAAGTCAAAATGGATCAAAGGTCTGAATATTAAAACAGAAACATTAAATGTGCTGGAAGATAGAATAGGTATAACTCTTGAAGACCTTGGGTAGGCAAAGACTTTATGAACAAAACCCTGACTGCACAGGAACTATCACAAATAATCAACAATTGGGATCTCAACTTTTGCATAGCAAGAGAAGCCACCAACAGAGTGAAGACAAACCCACAGTATCTTTTTCCCACAGTGTGGGAAAAAATGTTTGCCAGCTTTTCCTCAGACAAAGGATTACTATTGAGAACATATAAAGAACTAAAAAAAATCAGATCCCCCCCAAATTTAAAGACTCAATCCAAAATGGGCATCTGAGATAAATACATACTTTTTAGATGAAAAAGTACAAACATCGAGTAAATATATGAAAAGTGTTCAACATCACTGGTCATTCCAGAGATGCAAATTAAAACAACACTGAGATTCCATCTTACCCTAGAAAAAATGGCCATCAAGAAATCAGTAACAAATGCTGGTGGGGCTGTGGGGAAAAAAAAGAACTCTTTTCCATTGTTGATAGGAGTGTCGACTCTGTGGAAATCAGTGTGAAGATTCCTCAAAAAATGAGGACTAGAAGTCCCATTTGACTCAGCTATTCCCCTTTTGGGTATCTTCCCAAAAGAATTAAAAGCATCATACCACAGCGATATGTGCGCTCCTACCATGTTTGTAGGGGCACAGTGTAATAGCCAAACCTCGGAAACAGCCCAAGTGCCCATCAACTGAGGAATGAATAAAGATGACATTGATAATTTTTTTTTATACAAATGAGTACTACTCTGCCATAAAGAAGGATAACCTTGAGACATTCCTAGGTAAATGGATGCACCTTGAGACCATATTATTAAGTGAAATAAACTGGACATGTGTAAATTCCTTATTGTTTCTCTAGTGTGAGAAACTGAAAGTGTAAGGACCAAAATGTATATTAAATATTGTGAAATAGGAAGAAAATGTTCAAATGGGGAGGGAAATAAGAGGGGGGAAGGAAAGAAGGGACAATTTGTTTAAAATGATAAAAGGAAAAAATGGAAACAAAGCTTTTGTAAATGGTGAAGGGAAGAGGGGTTGAAAGGAGAGTAGGGGAATGGGAAAAAAGGAATCAAGTTATATCATGTACAGGTACAAATTCTCTATGATGAATGTGATCATTATGTATATCTAAAATGTAGGCCAGGCATGGTGGCGCACACCTGTCATCCCAACACTCGGGAGGCTGAAGCAGGAGGATCACTAAGAGTTCAAGGCCAGCCTGGGCTACAAAGTGAACTCGAGGCCAACCTGAACTGCATAGCGAGATCCTGTCTCAAAAAGACAATAAATAAATAAATAAATACATAAATACATAAAATGTACCAATAAAACCCGATTAAAAATAAATAGGTGACATTAAACTACTGGTCCACAATCTCTTATCCAAATCCTTTGAGGCCACCTGAGTTAAGTTTTTATTTATTTTTAAATGTAGGGCAGTGTCTATACCATACATTACACAATACCCACAGTATGATACTGAGGAGCCAAATAATGAAATCAACCCATTAACGTATCTGCAACAAAAACATGCAAACATTTGGAATCAAGGCTATAAAATGGATGAGCTTAATTCTGTGCAGATTTTACCGATAAGTGAATTAAACAGAGAAGTTGCTTTCAACAGTTCTCAGATTTCAAAACTGAAATAAGGGATTTAGTGACTGGATGGACTACACAAAGACTTAGAGGATGATAATGACAATAGAATCTAAGAGGCTGAGTGCCAAAGGCATCTCTGGAAAGATGTATTTGGAGTAGCGCTATGAGGAGGAAGTAGCTCTTGTTTGTACAAGTTCTGCCTACAGGCTTCAGTTTGACTTAGGAGGAAATAAGTTCTGGCCAAAATTGTGATAAGAATACCATGGCATTAGGAGGTGTTACTGTTTTGATGGGAAGAATCAACTAATGACTTTCCAGCGCTTACCATGTGGCAGGCTCCATCCCAGGAAATGGACAAATGGTTGCACAAGACACACAGTCCTTGCACCCTGCAATAAATGGCTACACCTGGGCTTTCAGGTGCCTCATCTCACTACTTTTATTCATTGGCATGGATTTGAGGTCCTGATCTGTCATTTCCTAATTAAGACTTAAGAGCTACTCTGAGCCTCATTTTCCTCTCCTGCAACATAAGGAGTAATCACTAGATAGGGCTTTGAAGAAAGGAGATGCTTTGAAGAGAATTTTGAAAAATGGAAAGTTAGAAGCAGACAGAATCAACTTCCTATAGACAAACAGGGTCTGTCTTTGGCATCCACTTCTTCATTTATTCTCACTCTTATTATCCTAACACTACCCATCTTCACCCCTATCTTCAACTAACCTACTCAACATCCCATCTATCCACTTCTTCATTTATTCAACAATGATTTCAGGAGGACCACTGTATACCAGGTGAGCCTGGTGCTGGGTCACTCAGAGACTTTGACCAGCAACTCTTCTAAAAAGGGACATGATTACTATAGAAAGGAAGCCTGGGCTTCGAGGAAGCTTCTAGAAGGCGGGAGAGACATGATGGCGTCACACAGCTGGCTCCTGCCCTCACAGACACTGCCTTGGAGCCCCGTGGTCGTGCCCCTCCTCCCCACCCCCTGTCCCGCACATGGCGCCGGTAGTGAAGGGAAGTTGGATACTAGTCATCCATACTCCCACACCAGAGCCTATTACCTGAGAGGAAGGACCAGCTGCCGCCCTGGGTCGCTTTCCCGCTCAAATTCAAACCCGGTTATCCCTCAAGCTACTCCGCCTCTTCAAACTCCGCCTCTTCAAACGTGCCCACAAGCACGCCACCTTCTTTCGTCACTTCCGCTTTGTCACTTCCGGATTCCGGGCGCCCACCCCTCCCGGGGTCTATACCTGCTGGATGTAGGAAATTAAAATGCCCCAGGTGGAGGTTATCAAGTGTAATGAAGGAAATAGTCTTCATTTCCCAACCTGTGGTGCTATACCACTGCACTTTCTTTTCAAACACTAAATTTTTACAATTTATCTTAGCAGTGTAATTTTACCTGACTAGAAATGCCACCCTACCAGCACCTGATTGCCACCTAAAAGACCAAGATTTAATAGTCTAGGAATGAAGAGCATGTATGAGTGTGATGGGCGGGATGGAGTTCCACCAGTGAGAAACACTTAAAGGGCCGCTGAGGAGAAGTAGTTGATAGATTCGGCTGATCTTCGCTGAGCACCCGTTTTGTGCCAGGCTGTAAGGACTGAGAGATAAAAACAAGCCCTATGCCGGATGAGTTTACAGGTTAGTGGAGGTGACAGGCACCATCGCAGAAGATTGTGACAAGATATGTATAGCATAATAAGAGAGGAGAGAGCATCTAATTCTGCCAAGGAGTATTTAAGGGCAGGTTTCACAAAAGAGTTTACATCTGAATTGAATCTTAAAGAATGACAGGGAGTTCACTGGATAGACAAAGTAAAGGAGGATGTGAGAGGCAAAGGACATATCATGTGTAAAGGCATGAAAGCTGAAAGAGCCTATTATCTTGATAAAACTATAAGTACTGTAGTTACTGTGCCTGTCGCCAAAGCTATTAGTGGAACATTGGAAGAAAATGAAATGGCAGAGGGAAGTCAGATCATAAAGAGCTTTGTCCACTCTACTAGGTGATTTTATCCAGCAGACATTGAAAAGTGTAATCAAGCCCATGTTTTAAAACACGTTGGTGACTGACTGGAATATTGAATAGAATGGGACAAAAAGACTTAGAGGGGTAGGAAAATGGCTAGTATTCAAAAGTATTTGTTTTTAGCCTCTACTACTTCTTTTTAATTATAACATTCAACATTATTGATACTGACATGTAGATAGACAAGTGCCATATAAAATGGTAGAAGGTACGGAAAAAGTTGGTGTGTTTAAAATATTATTTAACTGGTTATATATAATGAAGGTAGGAGACAGAGGCAAATAAAAAATTTGACATGCCAAGGCCAACCTGAACTACATAGCAAGACCAAAAAAAGAAAAAAAGCCCAGCGTGTTGGTGCACGCCTGTAATCCTAGCACTCAGGAGGCTGAGGCAGGAGGATCCTTGTGAGTTCAAGGCCAGCCTGGGCTAAAAAGTGAGTTCAAGACCAGCCCGAACTGCATAGTGAGACCTGATCTCAAAAGGACCAAAAAAGAAAAAAAAAAAAAAAAAAAAAAAAAAAAAAAAAAAAAAAAAAGGCCTGGAAAAAACCAGACTGTGTAGGGCCTCTAATGGTATGCCACGGTATTTGGATTTTATTCAGAAAAGTAGTAAGGTCTGGGAATGGTGGTGCACACCTATAAGTACTAGCACATGGAAGGCTGAGGCAGGAGGATTTCAAGTTTAAGTCCACCCTGGGCTATATATTGAGACCTAGTCACAAAAACAAAACAAACACAAAGGTAGTGGGGGACAAATAATAAGGATTTTATACATTGAGTTGTAGTTTACGAAGATTTTTGTATGCATCTTACATAAATGCTGAAAAGTAGGCAGTATTGTCCTATTTTACAGATGAGGAGGCTGAGTTTGGGGAATATGCTTTCATTATTGAGCATCTGCTATGTGCCAAACTCTATGCCAAACCATGAGAATGCCAGGAAGTTATAGTCTAATAGTCTAATAACCAAAATAGGAAATAATCAGCAAGTATAAAATCATTGCCATGATAAAGCCAGGCATAGTGTGTTATAGTAGTAAAAAGGGGACTTGTCTAAATCTACATAATCAGAAAAGGCTTCTTAGAGGAGGTGAGCTTGAGCAGAGTTTGTGGGAATACAGAGTATAAAGATTGTTGACACCTGTAATCCTAGCATTCTGGGAGCCTGAGACAGGAGGATTGCAAGTTCAAGCCCAGCCTGGGCAATTTAATGAGACCATGGCTCAAAATTAAAAAAAAAAAAAAGAAAAAAATTAGAAGGGCTGGGTACATAGTTCAGTGTGGAGGTCCTGGGTTCAATCCCCAGGACATGTGCACACACCCGTGCCCACACACACACGCACACACACACACTCATAAAAGAAGATATAAAAAGTTCATAATACTCAACAAGCAAGTCATTTAGTTGGAACTTGAACCCAAATCTCCAGTGCCCAATCTCTGGTCATTCCTTTACTCTAGGAACAATCTCTGTCCCCTTCCACTGACATTTTCATTCACAATTGTACCCGTTATATTTTGAAACCAAAGATTACAAATTTTTTTCCTTTCAAACCCATTCATCTTCTCCTTTTAAAATGAATTCTGCGAGTGTTCACAAAATAAACTGGGGGACTGGGAGTTTAGCTTAGCAGCACAGCACTTGCGTGGCAAGCGTGAGGTCCTGAGTTTGACTCCCAATACCCTCCCCACGCAAAAATAAAAAATAAACTGAAAGCAAAACAGAGGAATCGGAAGAGCAGAAGAATGTGATAATTGTACCGGAAATATATGATGAAGGCCAAAAAGAAGTCCAAAAGCCCTCCGTTATCCGTAGTTTTAAATTTGCTAGTTTTAGTTACCTGCAGTCAATAGCAGTCCAAAAATGTTAAGCTGAAAATTCCAGAAATAAAGTTATAAATTTTAAATTGCACCCCATTCCAAAAAGCACAGGGAAGTCTCTCATCATCCTGTTCCAGCCCACACCCCCAAGGGAGGCGAAACACCCTTTACCAGTCTGCTCAGTCTGCTCACACTATGCGTGCTGTCTATTAGGCATTTGGTAGCTGTTTTATTTATCAGATTGACTGTCGGTTATTGTGGTGCTTGTGTCAAGTGACCCTTCATGGTCATCTAAGGCTCCAGCACAAAACAGGTTCACGCACCTCACTTCACATCAGCTTGTGGCTGGCCATTGTGTCCTCTCACATCCTCACCAACAACAGAAAGCCACAGAGCGTTCACACCATTTTATTGCAGCGTGTTGTTACAATGATTCTGTTATAATTAGTTATTGTTGCTACTCTCACACTATGTCTCATTTCTAAGTTAACCTTTATCAAGGCTGAGATAGGAGGGTTATAAATGGAAGCCCCCTGGGCAATTTAGCAAGACCCTGTGTCAAAATAAAAAGAACTCAGTGCAAAGGCCCTGGGTTCAACCCCAAGAATCAGAAGAAAAAAAGCACCTTTATTATGGACTTGTACATAGAAGAAATAAAAACTACAGTGTGTATATCCACTGGAGTTCTGGGAACACATCCCCCAGATAAGTGGGGAGCACTGGTGTGGGCATAATGTGACCCTCCCGTTCTGCTCACTCCTCTGACACATACACTTTTGCATACAATGGTAAAGTGTCCATGTTTCTGGGCTTGACACCAAGTTTATGTGGGAACGAGGGAGAAGAGTCTACAGCGACTCTCCAGTTTCTTCTCCTCCATGTCAGTGGCTGCTGCTCATCCAGCTGAGGAACATGGTCAGATCGGAGTCGCAGGCTTGCCAGGGAAGATGATACATTCTGTTCCGATGATAAATCTGTCGTATGAAAAGCCGGGGGCAAGGCGGCAATGGCCAGGAGGTGGAGCATAGAGAGAACCGGAGAGGGTCTGGGGCTAGGTTCCCAGGCTCTAGAGTAGTCAGCATACAGAAGTGCAAACAGAAGATCAGAGACTGCGGATCTCCCTGTAGGAGGGAGGTGGTTAGGCTCAGCAAAGGTGTGAGGTGTGGCCAACTTGGTAGAATTAACCTGGTTAAGGTGATATCAGTTTGGGGCTCTTCTCATCTGCTTTCTTCCATTTGGGACACAATTTAGTTATGGTATTATAGAATTTATCAGATACAAATATGGTGCTATGATAATAATTTTCTCAGGTGTTTTCCTCCTTTAATTTTCTGAACTCAGAGTTTTATAAAACGGAAGGAAATTTGCTTTGCTTGATTTCAGGGCATCCCTTCTTCTGGCCTCCTCGCTTCATTGTTTTCTCAGTTCTCTGACCTCTCAAGTTTGGAGGGATCTGTTCTCCAGTCTTATCTTCTCTATCTACGTTCATTCCCTGGGTGGTGATATGCAGTTTCACGGTGACAGATACCCTCCTGTACCAGTAACTTGCAAGGTTTTCTCTTCCCTAATCTCTCTGGACCTCAAAATTTATGTACATGCTTGAGCTTCCTGTTGGTATGTACCATAGACATCTCAAACTTAGTGTGTCTAAAACCAGACTCCTTAAAAAAAATAAATAAATAAAACCAGACTCCCGCTCCTGTCTGCAGTCCTGATCCCCACCAGTCTCTCCTGCCTCAGTCAATGACGCAGCTTTTCTTCTGGTTTCTTGGGCCTGGAATGTTGGAGTTATTTTTAACTCTTTTTGTCTCTCACACCTCACTGCCCTACTACCTTATTTTGAAGTGTACAGTGGCTGCCAATGTCTGAATAATGATTTCTTGACACTGCCCCCCCAAAATACAATACATTTAAAAGATACAGGGTAGTCATATTATCTGTGTTTCTAAACTTTGTGATCACTCTGCATGCTTGGAATCCACCACCTCCGCCACCCCGTTCTAAGCTACCGTCACCTCTTGCCTGCACCGTTGCGGTAGCCTCCCAGCTGGCCTCCCTGTTTCTGTTCTTGCCCTCTCGTAGTCTAGTTTCATTTCAACAGTCAGAGGAACCCTTTTAAAACTTAAAACTCAACTCAGGTCGCATCATTCCTGAGTTCAAAAATGCCCATTGGCTCCCATCTCGGAGTCAAACCCAAAGGCCTTGTGATGGCGGCAAGGGCCCGGTGTTCCGCCCCTCTCTGACTTCCATCTCGACTCTCCTCCGGCTCACTGACTGTGCCAAGTGCGCGCCACCAGAAAGCTTTCTGGCTGCTCCTCCCTCTTCCTGAAGATTTCCATCGGCTGGTTTCCTCCCTTTGTGCTTGTCTTCTCAACTATCTTTGATGGCCCAACATAAAGCTATGACCCCCTTCTGCCACGCTTCTGACAGCTCTTGCTCTCTTCTACTTTTCTCTAAGGCTGTAGATCCATTTGCCTATATATTGTTTCTCCCGTCATCAGAATGTAGGCCCTGTATCCAAGAACCTCCTGCAGACCTACATACAGGTGTTCAAACCTGATTTATTAAATGAATGAAAAGAGAACATCTGAATCCACTACTGAGTCAGCAAAACACATTTTGCCATAATGTTAAATTAAGCATAATTACATATCTTAAAAAGTTCTGATATTAACAATGACCTTTCAAAAAGAATCGCTGAAAATTTTAAACAAGCATGGCTTTAAAGGGAACTTTCTCCATGTGGACAAGTGAGATTCCACAAATTCCTGAAGCCTCCCAATTACCTGCTGTTCTTCTGAGTGTCTGTGATGGTGAGGACTGAAATGCTGACACTGTCACATTGGGGCCTTTATTTTTAGGCTCTGCCTCCGCGCTTATTCAATTACAGAGCTGTTACGAAATAAGCCACCGACGGGGGCCTGCTTCCCTCTGAGTGAGCTTCGCAACACGTCTTCCAATCAATACTTCCTACCAACACAAATTCTCTTCTGAGAGTCTTCTCCACTCGACACTTGTAAGGGGAAGGATGCTATTCTGCTCCCTGGGGGATGGCAACCTGTGGAAGCTTGGCTTCCCCGTTAGGGTGCTAACTGAAACCTCCCTGATACTTTCTGCATAGCATCATTAAACACAGTGCCTTCCTATTCGCTTCTCAGCCATGGAAGTTAAGAGTGACTGTTTCATCACTTCAAGCCGCTGATTTGGGAGCTATTAAAGAATATGGATGGTGGCCAGAGGATGTTAGCATTTAGAAACTTAGTCAAGCACCTGTGCCGTGTAACCATGAGATCTGAGAAGGTGCTTGGAGCACGTAGTCTGTGGAACTCTGAGGCAAGTGTTGAGATATTATCGTTTTAAAAATGAGCAACATGTTATCTTTAAAGTTCTGTCTGTGTAACATGAGGAAATAGAGGGTATCTTGTTCAGATGTGACTTAGATTCAAGAAACTTGCATTAATAAAATGAAATCGCATGATTAAGGAGTTAAGAATGGCCAATTACCTCCTTTAACCCATTCAATTAATATATACCGAGCAGCTACTATGACCAAGTGAGTCTTCTTTTCTGTTTTGATAAGAATGCTCAGCAATTATAACCAAAGAAGAAAATTTTTAAAAAGTTAATCTTGAGCAAGGTTTATAAGCGAAAGAGTAAAGTGATATAAAAGGATGCCATTTCACAACGCAGAAATACAGAATAAATTTAAATGTTAGCACCCCAAATTGAGCCTTATATGAAACCCTCCTTCTTGGCGTCCCTGGGATTAATGCCAGACACATCCCTGGGAGCCAACATTTCCCTCTTCGTCTTGGGTTGTCTCTAAACTCTGAAGGATGTCGCTTAGCAAGTAGCAACACAATAATTTTGTGCAAAAGATGTATGCTGCCAACCTATTTTCTAGTAAGAGCAAAAAGAAAGGAAGAGGCCTCCACAGGCTGCAGTTGGTGTGGGGGAAGGGTGAGTTAGTACTTTGGGGGTAAGACCTAAAGAAGCTGAAGGTGACAAAACTCTAAGTCAGTGAGTGGGGCTTAAAAATCCCAGAAAGCCTTAAGTCCCACCTGCTCAATAGCAAGTGAAGACCCAGAAATCTAAGGGACAGGGCATGGTGGGACACACCTATCATCCCAGCACTTGGGAGGCTGAGGCAGGAGAATCACTGTGAGTTCGAGGCCAGCCTGGACTACATTGCGAGTTCAAGGCCAGTCTGAACTACATAGTGAGACTCTGTCTCTAAATTAATTAATTAAAATGAAGAGAGAAATCTAAAGGACAGTCCGCACTCATGCCAGAAAGTGACAAACCTAGAATTAGAGCTCATCTTGGCTCAGTGCTTCTCCTTTTCCTCTCTTTCTCCCTCTCCTCCTCCTCCTTCCTCTTTTTCCTCTTATGTCATACTATGAGCTAAGAATAATATGGACTAAGTGCCCTAAGAAAGCATTTTCTCTGAGATTTTTAAGTTTGGGATAATCAAGGGTGGTTTTAAATAATTTCCTCCACGAGATCTCCACGTTTCTCTGTATGCGTGGATATACTAAGAAAAAAAATTAAGATGTTTCCTTAAAGCCAGCAGCAGTGTGCTGATGGATCACATCCAGGATCAGACATTTACTTATGTGAACAGAAGTGTTCAGGAGGGTTGTTGTTAAAACTGAAACCAAACATAAAGAAGCAAAAGTGTTTCAGTGAACCTTCTGTAGTTTAGTTCAACTCTGACAGCAAGAAAACAAAACCACATAATCTAAGGCTCACACCCAACTCCGTGCAGCCGTGTATCTGCTAGTTCCTGTGTGGTTTGCCTACAGTCTGCAGAGCCGGTGGGGGGTAGTTTGGAGGCGAGGGTAAGAGGGAGTGAGGTCTGCGAGGTGCACCCTCTTTCTGCGTGGCACTTGGAAGGCAGGACAAGGTGGATCTCTGCTCTGAAACGCAGTCATTTTGATGTTTGCATTCCTCTTCCTTCTTACAAGAGAAGATTCTAATAACTCGGTGTCAAAGCCAAGATATAAAGTCAGCTTCTCCTCTTCCGAAAGGTATGTCACTATACGACACCAGTACGCGTCCTGTAGGAACCTGGAGCGGTTTTATGATTTGTAGTGTTCTGTACTAGTCAAATCTGACTAAAATGAATCCCATGAGCTCTCTAAATATTGCTTTTAATGCTTTTGGTCTGTCAGCTAAGGTTGCTAAGCCTTTTGCTGTGACAGTCTTTGTGGTACTGGGACTTGGCTTCTATCAAATGAACTAGAGAAGACTTGGTTCTTGCTCAGCTTGTGACAGAACCTCCACTAATTGCCTGCAGAGACATCTCTGGGAAAGACTTCTGACGTGGGGGTCACAGAAGTAAAATTCCACTTCACTGTGGTCAGCATGTCATCCAAATTGGGGAGCAGGAGGTGGTAGAGGGCTGAGCAGCAATGAATGAACACTAGACTCTGAGGTCAGAACTTTTCTCTTTGTTCAAATTGTTTAGTATCTGTGCTCCCTTTACAACAATCATCAGTGTGAGTTCTTTTACAAAAAAAAAAAAAAATTATGTTAAAATACATTTGAGAGAATATGGTCTATGTTTGCCTCTTTCTTCACAGTCTCAAGGGTAAGTGTCCAGTGTAGGGATAGCTCCTTCACGCTTTTTGTCCCCAGTGACTCCTGAACATGAGGAGCGAATACAAAGATACATCAAAGATTTCACAACCTAAAAGTTACTGTATTTGCACGCCTCAGATTAGGCCTGTTATGAAAGTCTACGTAACTTAATTTGCACATTATTAAAAATATACGTCTCTAGATAAATTAAGAAAAGCAGAATGTTTAGGATCTAAAAACCCAATGGAAAAAATGTCAGGTGCTCATTGCCTGAGGACGGGAAACTTTAAGTTCAGGAATCTCATGTTTTGTGCGAATACATTGATTCAGTTCTATAGAGGGGGACTTTTTCTTCTTTTTTATTTTTGGTTTCGGAAAAAAATTTAGTTTAATTTATTCTCCTTTAATAACTTGATATTATATATAAAGCTTCGTGCTTGTAGAATAATTTACATGCGATCCTCTTCCCAAATCACCCACTCTTAGATAAAGAATGCAATGTACATAGAGAATCACCTAAATGCATTTAGATTTCAAATTTTTTTAAAATTCAGATTTATACCTTTTTCAAGAACTTTTTGTTCTTTTTGTAAAAGAGAAAAGGCCCTATGTTGTTGAATAAAACTACCCTTTCGGATTTAACTTTGAGTGTCTCCCATGTAATCAAGTGTAATCTTATTCTCCCTAAATTGTAATACCTTTTATCTTTTCTAAAATGACTTTACTGAAGCAGAGGGAAAGGAGGTGATCGATCAGTGCAATAGAGAGAAGTATCTCTGTTGCTAATATAATATCTTTTTTAATATCTTCCACATCTTAGGCCTCCATGAAAACCCCTTTTCTTTTTTATTTCAAACATTCTGTGTGTACCTTATAGGGATATTATCAGAATAAATGACTTAACATAGAGACGAAGTACCTCACGGAAAAGTCACTATAAAACTGCGAGGTTATATCATTACTAATTATTTTTTTGACTCTTGATCATTTTCTTCCCATCTCTCATACAAAATGCATCTCACTTACTGCCTAAAGCCATCCCTTTTAGAGCCATTCCCTTCCAGAAGAGCTGAAAATGATCCTAATTCCCACATATTTATTGATTCCCAGAGAATAGCACCTGCTGGTGTTGAAGGCGGAAAGGGCTCATGCCTGAACTCGAGCAGAACTTGCCCCTTTTCCAGGATCAAGAAAGTCTGCAATTATTCAAAAATATGTCATTAAGTGTGATTCCATCAGGATTTCTTAAATAAGTAACAGTTGCTGCTGGGATAATCCTAAAGACAGGTTGTTCATGCTTTGCCCTCATAAAACAAACTCAGAAATTGCTCAAGGGTCTTCATAAGCTGAGTTATTTGAACCAAAAGATAAGGGTAGATTGGTCTTCATTTTGTCCAACTAAAGTATTTGCTTGGCATATCTCAACCCGTAAAGGAACAACTCAACCTCATGTGTCTTTGCTTTTTCCCTCTTTATTCATAATATATATATTATGTGTGTATGTGTGTGTCCCACTTGACAATTCGCAGGACAATTTAGCCTCCTTTAGCAAGTACACATTTTCGAACATTTATTGAGCAATTACTATGTGCCAACATTATGTGCCACACCCTGTTACAGCACTGAGTTCTCTTCAATGTTAATATTAGCTTCCAGTACACTTGAGTTAATAGGAAGTGTGTGAATAATTTTAAGGGTAGGTTTCTTCTTTAAACATACATTCACAGACAAAATTTCTGGAGAATTGAAAGAAACGATCACAAAGTACATGATAAGCAAAGTCTTACATATTCTCCAGAGAAGATATAAGACAATTATTTTAGGAAAAAAGTGAGTAAGATGCTCAAATTTAAAGAAAAATCAAACTATTAGTACAATGAATACCTCTACGTTCACCATCTAAGTTCAACAGCTGTTGCTGTTTTGTTCTACCTATACATATTTCTTTCTGAGTTACTTGTAAGTTACAGATAAAATGACACTTCCCTCCTAAATAATTTAGCACATATCCAAGAACGAGGACATTCTCCTACATGATGACAATATTGTCATTATACCTAGAAGATAAATAGTAAATCCTTAAGATCATCTAATGTCTAGCATGGACTAGACTTAAACTTCCCCATTTGTCCCCCAAATGTCTTCTATACCATTAAAAAAAAAAACAAATAATACCGAGCAGGGCATGGTGGTGCACATCTGTAATCTCCATATTCTGGGAGGCTAAGGCCAGAGAATTAAAAATTCAATTCCAACTTTGGCAGTATAATGACTTAATGAGATTCTACATCAAAATAAAAAAAAAAAAAATTAAAGGACTAGGGATGTAGAGCCTCAGTGAAAAGGCCCTGGGTTCAATCCCCAGTACTACCAAAAAAAAATTTTGGCTGGGGGAGCTTTACATCTCTTTATTTAACACTCGATTTTTTAAAAAAAAAATAGGCCAATTTCTTCCCAGAATGCCCTGTGTTCTAAAGTGGCTACTTCTTTATGGCTAATTTATTCTTCTACTCTCTATATTTCATGTAAACTCCAACGTAGGACCAAAGCATGATCAGGTTCTGACTGAACATTTGTTACAGGGTGCCGCAGGGTGCTCCACATTGCCTCTTACCAGGAGGCACATGATTCCAGTTTGCTCTGAGATTCATGACTCCAGAATGTGAACTTGCACCAGGCTCTCTTTCACTGGAAAGGTACTTTTCCCCCTTTCACAATTAGCAAGTCATCCAAAGAGGGTGACACTTTGGCCCTGTGATCATGAACTATTTCTCAGCAAACCTTTTCACCCAGTGATCTCAGGCGCTAATCCTGCCTAAGTGGATTGTTCCATTGGTGGCCACACATATTTTTAACCCATTTTGAGGAAGGATAAAACCTATAAATTCAGCAGCAGCAGGAGCTATGGATATTTATTGAGTGTACAAATTCAGAAAATAGTGAAAAGTAACATTGACTACTTGTTCTAGAGCCAGATAGCCTGAGATTAAGCCCAGCTTTCCACTTACTAACTGAATGAACTGGATAAGTATTCAATCTTTCTGTGTTTATCTCATGGGATTGTTTTGAGAATTAAATAATGTATACAAGTTCCCCAGACAGTTTGTGTTTACCAGCCATGCACTGATTAATACTTTGCAGATAATTAGCTTCTTTACTTTTCTTTCTGGCCCAGTGAAGAAAACGCTTATATTTTTCTTCTTTCACAAATGAGGGAGCTGCGGTATGAAGAGCTTAAGTCCCTTGCTCAGGTTCATGCAGTTAGTATGCAGTTGAGCCAGGGCTTGCGCCCAGGCCATCTGATTCCCAAACATTCCTCTGAAGACTGGTACACAGGATGAGGAGGGAGACAAATGGAATGCAGTGGGCTTCCACACATGCCCAAGTTCGAAATCCCTGACAGTCTCCTAGCATTGTCACCAGAGCTTGCTGTAAGTTTCATTCGTCGGCAGGAGAAAAGCATTCTGGGAAGCATAGATAAGTATATACTTATTTCATTTATGTAGCTTAAGGTTCTTGTACAACATAAGATAGCTGGACGTGAAAAGATTAGAAGAACTCGTAAGGCAATGAAAGAAAGAAAAAAAGGAGAAACCTGAAAGGAATAATAAAAGAGGGAGTTATGAGACCTCAGAGCCTTGGGGCAGAAGATGATATTTTGATAGAGTCAGGATGGGAAAAAAATCTCTCTCATTTTTTCACATACCTGTACTATAGAAGATTTTACCACTAACACACAAGAGTATTTGCCTTGTCAGATTTATAAAGACTACACTGAGTTTCCTTAAGGGATGGCGGAGGACTGGTGTGGGAAGGAAGCTTCCTTGGTGGGTTATTGAATCTGCTCAGATTTTCCAGCAGTCAGTCTGTGACTTCTAAAACACAAAACTGTATCCAGAAAAAGCCTTACACATTAAGTATCGGGTCCCTGGCCCTCATTAACATTACAAAAGTGTTCCAGCGCTGTGCCAAGTCTTATCCACTCCTTAAATTGCCATTGTAGAAAGCTCTCAAGTATAATTTTCTAAAGAGAACTAAAACGAGAGGAATAAAACCCCAACATTAATAATGTTTTTATGCATTTCTAACGTAGTCATTACTAAATTGGTTCTGGCTTTTCATGTTTTTTAATGAAAAACAGCCTAATTAATCAATTGGTCATGAATAATACTTTTTCATTTGTTTCCTATTCTTCTCAGCCTAAATATGTTGGCCTATGTATGGTTTATGATTTCTGTCTTTTGCTAGGGCTTTATGGGAAAACAAACCGCTGAGAACTCTGTAGGAACTCAGTAAACAGTTAAGTAGATAGTTCTCTCATTAAATATGATTTTAAAGAAAAATCTTTTGAAATCACTAGGAAATTTTATTAGGGAAGTACACAAGTAGGGGAAAAAAAAAACCTGGCTTATTTGCAATTTGAGGTTTCTATTCATCACTGTTTGGTCATAGACTTTAGCCCTTTAGGGAACAAAATGGGAAGTGAGATAACTGAAAAGGTTCTCTTTCCCCAAATAGATTTGTTGTAATAATATGGATTATTAAATCAGTGATACTAGTAGGAGAATCATAACCATGCGTTAAATCTAAGAAACTTGTCAAATTTTAATACCTTAGGCCGGCGCTTTAAGTTGATTGTAAGTATATGGACAGCCACAGCATCTGAGCTCACCGGTGCTGGTCAGGTGGCTGTGGGGAAGGGTGTGTTCCTGACACACTTAACAAGCCGGTGAAAGCTGTGAAAACTGGTCCCAGGGGTAGAAAAGGCCTGTGCCTCCTACTTGTCTTCATTCACGCAACTTTACGCAAAAACTCCCCACCACCCATTCCTATCTGCTCAGCAAGAAAACTCTCCTTTTTCTAGACTGAACCTGATATTGCTGTAAGAGAGTTTGCTTGTGTTATCTCATTTGATCTAGCTGTGATCTTTGAGGTAGCTAGACCACATGTTTTACCTCTCATTTTCAGAGTGGGAAATGGAGCTTGAAGAGTTTACATGATTCGTTCGAGGTCATTTTGTGAACGTCTGGCAGCAGTGAGCCCCAAGCCCGGGAAGTTGTGACCGAGGTCCTTTCCCCACACTACTCTGAGCACAGCATTCGCAAGCGGTGGGAACCCTTAACGGGCTTCTGCAAATCTCAATTCTGAATCTCCTAAAAACTACCTCTGTGCCCTTGAACAAGTCACCTAGCTTCTCTGGGCCTCAGTTTCCTCTTTGGTCAACTGAGAGATCAGACTGCATGTTCTCTGAAGCCCTTTGCTTTTCTGTTTTCCAAAAACTGCCTACCCTGCTAAGAACAGTGGGAAATGATGTTTCTGCTACAGATGACAGGACCCTCCACCCTTCCCTGTAAATCCTAAAAGCCGGCATCCAATTCTTGTCGGATTTCCTTGCAGGATCCAAATCCTTTTAGAAACTATAAGTATCTCTCATGCTTTTGTGGGCTGCTTGTGTGTCATTCTGCTGGTTGCCTCATTTGCTGTGGGGCTGGCTATTTTATAGTGATAATATCTGACCCTGTGCTCTGCACTGGACCGACGTACCCCATCTTTTATTATCCCTCATAGGCAGTTCATAATGTGATATGAGAATAAATAATGCTGATGGGCTCATTGAAGACTGATAGATCCTTCCTTCCAAAGAGGTTATTCTTTCTGAAGGACACCAAGCCTTCCACCTGATTTTTCATTGTTAAGACATGTGTCCCGTAATGGCCTTGGCAGTTGGAGATTCATGAAAGCGCCTGCGGCTTTGGGCTCTGAGACTGCAAAAGGATGTAACTATCCCTCCCCTTGGCCCTGGGACTCTTCTGGCCAGGCACCGTTAGCAGGGACAGCGTAGCTACCTCAATAACCAAGAAGGTGGCCTCCTCAGTTCAGGGTTGCCAGCTGATAGTAGGAGATTGGGGCTCTGTTTCTCTATTTTTGCTTTCTAAGTTTTCTAAGTGGACTTTAGGCTGACAAGTGAGGTCATATCTACTTCTTACCAATAAGCGCATCATTGCTCCGTACCGTATCGAGTCCTTGGGCGTGGGAAGGGTAGTGTCCAGTGATGAGAGTGACGGAGCATGAACAAAGCTTCTGTGCTGCGTATTCTATTCTCAGCCTCGCGCATGACTCAGTGTGCTCCCTCCACTCCTGCGTCCTTGAGCAAAATTCTTCCATCCTTTAACGCACTGTACAGGAGACTTAGGAAGGTTCAAGCGTTTCTGCCCCCAAAGCATTTGCATATCATTGGCAAAATATAAATATGCAGCATCTCATTTGCAAAATACCTAACACAGTGCTTTCTTATTTAAACTAACTCATCCTGTGGAATTTTCTTTTCAATGCTGGGTATTGAATCCAGGGCCTCAGCATACCAGCCAAGTGCTGTACCACTGAACTGTATTCCCAGCCCTAGTATTTTTAAATAGATCACAGCCTGTTTTGTGGACAAGGACAAGATGATACTGTGACTTGACACTTGGTATCCTGTAAATATTCAAATAGGTAAAGAAGGAGAAAGTGTGAAGTCAAGGAATCCTTGAGTTGGAGGAAATTTCCCATACCCGGAGCAAGAAAAATGGAGCTTTTAGATAGTAGACTTAGTTTTTCTCTAGCATAGACATACAGCTTCCACGTTAAAATTAAGATGTAAGGAAATAAGATTTACTGTGGAGTTGACTTTGTCAGCTTATATTATTTCATAACATGAAGGGTCAATTCAGTGTTATTATCATCAAGAGAGTACGCTGTAATGCTTTGTCATGTAGATGCTATAAAAAATTACCTGTCTGGTTACTTTAATTCATCTTGTGGCTACCGTCAGCAGAAATTCCCTCCGTCCCTAACTGACAGGTACCCAGATGTACTGAGAACATTTAGGGTAATAAAAACAAAACATAATGAGGCCCTTTTCCCTGAGGAACTAACAATGCCCTGGGAAACTAGAACAGACAAAAGAAAATGCTACTGCCAAGCAAAATTCAGGGCAAGGAGATAACAGAGTAAGTGGCTCAAGGTAGAGATTTTAAAAGAGGGCTTCTTGGAGGAGGCACACCTGTAGGCAGAAGGAGACATCTTGGCAAAGAGATATAAACACATCCACAGGTTTTCACACCTTAAGGAAGTCACGGAGCGAACAGGGTCTCATCTGTCAAAGATGCCTATTTTACAAACAACAAAGAGTAAGAAGGCCATCATGAATTTTTTTCTTTCCAGATCCAGAAATTAAACCTCATGCCAGCAGGGCATGGTGGTGCACACCTGTAGTCCCATTACTCTGGGAGGCTGAAACAGGAGGATTGCAAGTATGAGACCAGCCTGGATAACTTAGTGACAGTGAGATGCTGTCTTTAAATTTAAAAATTTTTAAAGGGCTGGCAATACATGCATCTCAGGGCAAAGGCTCTGGGTTCAGATCCCACTGCTCTAGGAAAAAAGAAAAAAGTCTGCCCCTAGAAATGGGCCGTTCTTCCCTACTACAAATCATGCCCCTTTAAAGTCTTATTTTTCAAACATAAAAATCCTTGGTTCTTTAACCATGCCTGTGATTCAGCATTCATGCTGCCAGCAATTTAAGTAGTCATCTCTGGATGGACTCCAGTTTAAGACTCCTCTTCTATCTCGGTACCCACAATGGAACAGATCTCTCTGGGAGTTGTCTGACAATTCAGAACACCATGGCATAGTTTCTTCCCTTGATCTATACCCC